CTAGTCCTTTATCTTATAGTCCAATGGTAGCTGTACTCCCTACTGCTCTCTAAGACTCCACCTTCCTGCCTGTCTACTTAGCCAGTTCCCTCTGACTCAGTCTGCTCCTAAGAGCTCTTCTGTGAGGCCTCCCTTTACCATCACCGTCTTTTTGTTCTTCTGCCATCACCATGAGAAGGACATGACTGTGCTAGCTTGATGGAAGATGGGAGACACATGGAGAGTTACATCCTCCCAATCAAGGATGTCCTAGACCAGCTGCCAGCCAGCCCATCCTCAGACAGGTGAGCAAGGCCAGCCAAGACCAGCAGAGTCTCCATGACAATTTCCCCAGATGCATGAGCACTGATAAGCCCTATTGTTATATGCCACTGAGTGTTTTGTTTCACAGCCTTATTATTTTTTAATATATATCTTATTGATTTCAGAGAGGAAGGGGGAGGGAGAGAGATAGAAACATCAATGATGAGAGAGAATCATTGATTGGCTGACTCCTGCACACCCCCTACTGGGGATCGAGCCCACAACCCGGGTATGTGCCCTTGACCAGAATCGAACCCTGGACTTTTGAGTCCACAGGCCAACGCTCTATCCACTGCGCCAAACCGGCTAGGGCTCATAACGTCATTGAAGCTATAGATGACTGGTGCATAAATGTTTAAGTGATATCACATGAACACGACAACAAAAAACAGAATTTGGAAAACCCTAGAGAATGAATAATCCAGTTTCTTTTCTGTCCCGTAGAATTCCCCACCTTCTGGAGGGAGAAATGTTATTGATTAAAAGAGACTTCGGAGACATATGAGTCAAAGGCAATGTCTGGATCTTAGATGAACTAAAAAGATGAAGGGAAACTCATGAGCTGTCTCATGCTAACTAAGGGTAATATTCTGGTTATTGTTCAATATAAATATGTCCATTAGATATTAGATAAATGTTGCATAATCTTCCTTCCTTCCTGTCTACTATTTTTAGTGAAATACTTTTGTAGCATATTATACAGATAGAAGAATGCATAAAAGATTTAGAAATAGTTTAAAGATCAATTATAAAGGAAATATCCATGTAGCCACAGCCCAGGTTAAGAACAGAAACACTGACAGCACCCTAAAACTCACATGTACCCCTCCCCAGTCACTGCCCCCACTCAGCCCCAGAGGTAACTACCATTATCCCAACATCCATGATATTGATTTTCTGATTTTCTTTATAGTTTTAAACTCTATGGATATAGCTCTAAACAATATAGTTTAGTTTCACAATAAAGTCTTCCAACTTTAAGTGCTAGAATTTTTGAGCGAGAGTCGCCCATATTATTCTGTGGTAGTTAGCTGTAGTTTGTTCTTTCTCTTTGTTGTGTTTCACTGTATAGATACACCAGGAATGGCATCCTCTCTATTCCATTGTGGATGGGTGTTTGAGGTTGTTTCTATTTGGCACTGTTATGAACAATACTGCTATGAACATCTTATATCTGGCTTCTGGCTTCCCCGGGTACAAACCTGAAGGGGAATTGCTGAGTTATAGGCTCTGCACATCTTTGTCTTCACTAGAAAAATGTCTGTTTCCAAAATGGTTTTACCAATTTATATTCCTGCTAACATTTCCATTGTTCCACACAGTTGCCCACATTACATGTAGTCTCTCATTTTTGCTAACCTGGTAGGTATGTAATGTCCCACTGTGGTTTTAATTTGGATTTCTCTGATTACCAATAAAGTTGAACACATTTTCATATGTTTACTGACGATTTAGGTCAAATTTTATGGTAGCAGCAGGGTCTCTGTTACTAGTTCCTAAATGTGATCCCTAATGGATACACTGATGGTCTATTATTGTTATTTTATTCATTCATTACATAAATATTTGTTAAGTACTATTTTGTTCCAGGTACCACTTTTGGCACAGGTATACAGTGGAAATAAGATAGACAGAGTGTTCTGGGTTTGAAATATTGTTTAGACATGGAAATGGAGAAATCACAAGGCAGTTGTTGTTGTTTTTTTAAAAAAAAAAAGTTGTCCCTTAAAGGAGAGGTTGGTGGTATGTAGCTTTCACAGTGATCATCCTGTAGCTACTAATTACAGTTTTGGTAAAACACTTGTGGGAAAGAAAGCGGAAAGAGATAATAAGTCTACAGCTCAGCCCTGGTGCACTTCTAATTGGAGGTCTGACAGAAGCAGAGCCAGGGTGGAGAGGCCGGGGTAGAGGGAAGCCAAAGGAGCATGCTGTCACTGAAGCTGGAGGAGGAAGCTCTCAGGGAGGAGCTTACTGAGAGGCTTACTGAGAGGCAGAGCTAGACAGAACTGGCCACTCTTCACCCACAAAGGAAATTACCTGTGAAACTAATGAAGCTTAAGTTTCACAGATGGTCACTAGCACAGGCTCCTTCCGATGCCTGTCCCGAATTTTGTATCTGCAGTTTTACATTCTTTTGCTTAGATGACTCTCCAAATTTTATAAACTCAAGCCCCACAAAACCCAGATGTGTTGTCCCTCCTCCTCATCCTTCACCTCTCCATGACAACATAGATTTCACTGACATTATTTCCTCCTTAGCTTCTTCTGGCACACCCCTCTCTTCCACTCTTCTCTTCTCTCACCATTCCCTAAAGGAAGATATGGGCTAACATTTGGCCTCAACCTTGTTCTCTCTACACTAAGCCTCTGTGAAATTATTCATTCATATCACCCTTACATGAATAATTCCCAAATTCATACTTCCAGCACGGCTCTCTGCCTCCCAAACACAGGCAAATAATTATGCCTTTTTGAAAGTAATTTGCCATGATAAACATTTATCATTCTAGAAAGCTCATAAACAAGAAAAAGATGAAATGGATCAAAAAGGAAAGAAATATATACTTGGCTCAGACAGTATTATTCATTGGCATATTTTTGTAGGAAAAAAACAACAACAACAGAATGCAGCCCGTCTTAGGAATCTGTTGCTGAATAACAAGTTACCCCACACTTGAGTGGACTAAAACAACAACAGAGCCAATCTCCCAGTCTCTGTAGGACAGCAATCTGTGTGAGGCCCAACCCGGTCCTCTGCATCCGGGATTCTCACCTGCTGCAATCCAGGCCTGGGGAGGAGTTATCATCTCAAGGCTCATTTGGGAAAGGATCCGTTTCCTGCCTCCTTCAAATGGCATTGGCCAGATTTAGTTCCTTGCAAGTTGGTGAACTGAGGGCTTGAGATCCTTGCTGGCTTGGAGTATTGGAGGCGACCCTCAGTTCCTTGCCATGTGGACTTCAAGCAGCTCACAACACAGTAGATGACTTCATCAGAGTCAGCAAGAGAGGTAGTGACCACCAGAGAACATGCAAGCCAGATGAAAGTCAGCCTAAAGTGACAGCCACCACTGTTGTCTTATTCCAGTGATGGCGAACCTTTTGAGCTTGGCGTGTCAGCATTTTGAAAAACCCTAACTTAACTCTGGTGCCGTGTCACATATAGAAATTTTTTGATATTTGCAACCATAGTAAAACAAAGACTTATATTTTTGATATTTATTTTATATATTTAAATGCCACTTAACAAAGAAAAATCAACCAAAAAAATGAGTTTGCGTGTCACCTCTGACACGCGTGTCATAGGTTCGCCATCACTGTCTTATTCTATTGCTAGAGGGGAGTCACTAGATCCAGCCCACATACAGTGGAAGAGGATGACACAAAGGAGTGAATACCAGGAGTCAGGGATCATTGGAAGCCATTTTAGGAGCAGCCTATCACACAGCTCCTGCCCTCCAGGGACTCCCAATAGAGGTGAGAACGCATTGGGTAGGTACCTGAGAAAGACTAAGGTGTGCTGGCTCAATGACTGCCTATCAGTGTAGATGTACCTTACTCTACAGCAGAGTCACTGTGTTCCTGTCAGATTGCTTGTAACAAGTTTTAAGTGGTCACTGATCTTCACTGTACTTTGAGATACATTTCACAGAGGCTGCCCTCCTCCCCTCCCATTTCAGAAGAACTGCGATAATAATGTAAAATGTAAGCTTAAGAATCTTACTAAGAGTGTGCTATGTGGTTGTGCAAGAATCCCCCTTCCTTTGTGCATTGCTGCTAGTCGGGAAGGACAGTGTTTCCTTCTCGCTTGGTGGTCAAAACTCCATCCAAATACCCCTCTTCCTTAAAAAGTAGGAAACAACACTATTTGGATATGAATTATTTGCATTAATGCAGAAACTCAAGTTTCTCAGCTCATCTGCTGAGTTTTCCTCTTGCCATAAGAAAAAGAAAAGACCAATTGGCTTATTTTAATCTCTCTGAAAATTACTCAGCAATTTAATAATTAGCACACGGGCTTATAGTCAATCATAGTAAACACAAGCGATCAAATTAGTTATCGATTTACTTGTACATGCTGTAAGCACACTTCCCCTTGCTTTATAACACGGGGCTCTGGGCTCCTCATCTTGGTCCTCATGTGTAGTTCCACCCCACACCAGATGGGGCAGAAGCAGCCTTTCCTCACGCGGGTTTCCCCGCCAGCGTCTGTCTCTGTCAGACCCTACCAAGTCAGTGAGAAAGGGGGGATGACCATGGAGACTGCAGACTTGAGCTCAGGATTACCTTCTCAAGAGAAGTATGTTCCATATTATGAGATCTTAAAGAACACATTATAATTGTGTAAACCCCAGTGCTTGAGAACACGCCCAGGGCCTGGCCTTGCGAGGCCAAACATTTTCCTGCCTCCCCCCCGCTCCGGCAGAGGAAGGTACGGCCCGGCCGGCGGAGGGCCGACCCGGAAGTCGCCTCCGCTGCGCGCACTGCGCTATCCCCGCTGCGGGAAGTTGAGAGCTGTGCTGCCCGGAATCCGTGGGCTCGCCGCTTCTCCTCCTGGGTCCCCCGTCCT